CATTTTTTTTTTTTTTTACACTTTGACAAATTATGTTTCATTACATAGATACTGAATTGGTAACTTTAACATCGTTTTGCGTTTCCTCTTATCCAGTGATAAGAGCCACTGTACCGAAACTGAATCTTGACGACACTTTTGAGCAGAAAAACGACATTGCTAAGGCTGTGGAAGATGAACTCGAAAAGGTAAAAGCAAAACATTTTTCTTACACTGATTATAGTTAAAAGTTTCGAGAAATAGTGAAATACTAATTATATGGTATTCGTTGTTGTTTGCAGGCTATGTCTGCCTACGGGTACGAAATCGTTCAGACACTGATTGTTGACATCGAACCAGACGAGCATGTCAAGAGAGCCATGAATGAAATTAATGCTGGTAATTTATAGAATTTATCTGTTTATTAAACCATTTTTTTTATTTTTTTTTAAAATTTATAATTTACAATTTTTTTGTACATTACAGCTGCAAGGATGAGGCTGGCTGCCACAGAGAAAGCCGAAGCCGAGAAGATACTGCAAATCAAGAGAGCTGAAGGTGAAGCAGAGTCGAAATATCTCTCGGGTTTGGGTATTGCCCGTCAGAGGCAGGCTATTGTCGACGGATTGAGAGACAGTGTCCTAGGTTTCTCGGTGAATGTGCCTGGTACAACTGCTAAGGATGTAATGGACATGGTTCTTGTCACCCAATACTTTGACACAATGAAGGAAATCGGTGCTTCTTCAAAATCGTCTGCTATCTTTATCCCACATGGGCCCGGTGCGGTTCGTGATGTGGCGGCCCAGATTCGTGATGGGCTTCTTCAGGGCTCCAACGCCCTTCATTGAAAAATGCCCCCCTTCCCGATTTTCGAATTGGAGGTTTAAATTTTTACTAATGTTGATGTTCTCTTAATGTTGTTTGGAATTATATTTCGTTGCACGAAAAATATATTAGTGTTGTGTGGTTTGAAGAATTTGTACATGGGGGGTTACTGTGTTGAAAGTTTGAACTTCGAAACTGTTTTCTCGGTCTGAGTATAGTGAAGTTTTATTTCGATGACGTGGATTTTTAATCTGCTTTTTTTTTTTGACATGCTAGAGATTTGATTTTTTGTGGCTGACTATACAAAATTTTTAACCTACACGACTATGTACGTTTGTGATCAAAACTTCTTTTTCTTCTTCTGATGAATCGTAATAGTTGTGTTCTTCTTCGTCGTCTTGTTCGTTTCTTCTGAATCTGGATAGTTCGTCTTCTTGTCATTCGTAGGATTCGATTGTTCTTTCTCTTGTTTGTCACTCTCGTTGCCGTGCGTATTCGTCTCGTTCTTCTCATGCTTGTTTTCTTCCTATTTGGCTTTGGCTGCAATGCCATTTTTGTTTCTCTGATTTTCGAAATTTTATCCTCCTCTTTTTTTTTTTCTTTTTTTATTTTCAAGAAGAAAAAATTTATCCGCCTTGGAAATGCATTTAATATAAAAATGGATCCCACCCCCCAAATTAGGTGGGGATTCTTTGGTACATTAAAATCCTAAATTTTCTGCTTCCCCATTAACATTTTTTTGGGATCCCTTTC